TGTGCCAAGCTTGATCTCAAGTCAAGACATTAGTACGTTCCTTTGGCTTGAAATTATCTACCTGCAGATGATTGCATGATTGTCTTCTCAACATTCAGGTCAATTCACAATTGCCTAAAACAGTAACCTCTTCTTGCCCCTTTCTCCCTTTCAGCCCCTCAACCTTGTTAATCTGCCAGAGTTTCTTGTTTTACTGTTTTTAGCATTTACTTGCAGTCCCAAATTATGTATGTGTTTGTGGGTTTATTGAATGTCTTATAATCCTGTAGGCCTTCCAATGTTTTCATCTCTCTACTCCTAGAATCTAAAGTGTTGCCTGGCATCATAACAGGTCCTTGAAAAAATATTTGCTGACTGATGCACTGACATGTTTCAAAGATTTTCAGAAATATTCATGGGAGAATGGGCAATAGAGTTTCTGTGGGTACAAGTCGTGGGCAAAAACAGAACATGTGCATTACTGTCAATATGAAGTTAATTTGCATGTACAGACTACAGAAACTATTCATATAAGATATATACATTTCAATATAAGTGCTATAAAGGAAATAAGTCAGAATTTGAGAGGGAAGAAATACCCAGGAAGTAGTGATATTTGAGCAGAGATCTCAAGGATAATAGGATATAGCTAGTTTCCGGAAGAATGGAAGATGAATGGACAAGGGTGTTCAAAAAATCAAAACCCAAAGAGGTTTAAACTCTACAAAAAAAAAAAAAAAAAAAAAAAAACCTTGGCCGGTGCAGTGGTTCACACCTGTAATCCCAGCACTTTGGGAGGCTGAGGCGGGCAGATCACCTGAGGTCAGGAGTACGAGACCAGCCTGGCCAACGTGGTGAAACCTCGTCTCTACTAAAAGTACAAAAATTAGCTGGGCATGGTGGCAGGCGCCTGTAATCCCAGTCATTCAGGAGAGTGAGGCTGGAGAATCACTTGAACCTGGGAGGCGGAGGTTGCAGTAAGCCAAAATTGCACCATTGCACTCCAGCCTGGGTGACAGAAGTGAGACTTCATCTCGAAAAAAAAAAAAGAGAGACTTTGAAAAGTGTGAAATGAAAGTAACACTAGCATACTTGTATTATAGATAAATAAATAAGTTGAGACTAAAACTAGGGAACTGATCTAGAGAGCTGCTAAAGAAATCCAGGAAAATCCAGGAGAGAGAAGTGATGGTGTTCTTAAACTTGAGTAGATACACAGGGGGAAGAATAGAATTGGATAAATAAAAAGATTTAGATGTGATCTAGACTCAACAAGACTTGGCTAATTAGTTGGGGGCATAAACAAAGGGTGTGTTTTTTAAAAAATCTAATTGTCCTTATTAGGTATTTGGATGCACGGTGGCTCCCGTCAATGACATAGAGGATTTTGGAGGATATTTCAGGTTTCAGTGGACAAGATGATGTTCTTACTGAGCTTAAGTTATTAGAGGAGCAGCTAGGTGGAAATATCCAGGAGGCTGTTGTAAATATATGCCTAGGAGGATACATTTGTGAATCATCAGGATATAGATGACAATTAAGTCATGGGAGTGAATGAGGTCAGGCAGTAATAGAACACAAAGGGAGAAGAAAATAAAACCTCAGCCGCAACCCTGTGAAACACCAATATGTAACACATAAAGAGAAACCAGCTATCACATTTACTTAGAGCAGCCAGAAAGATAGGAGAAAAACAAACTAAGCGTGAAAGCAACCAGAACCAACAAAAGAGAACATTTCAGTAAGAATAACAATTCAACAGTGTCAAGTACTAGGGAAAAAAAAATCAAATTAGATTAGGTTTCTAACATGCCCATGAGATTTAGTGAAGTTTCTGATTACAATCACAAGAAGGTTTTATTGCAGTGGTGGTGAAGGTGGGTTCCAGACTGCAGAAATCTAAACAGGAAATGGAAGGTGAGATATGGTCATGATGATTGGAGACACATTTTAAAGAAATGTAGCCATTGGTGGGAGAATAATGAAAGATTGGAGCAGAGAGGTGAGGAAATATGGAGGTTATGATCGAAAGTAATGGAGAATGCATAAATGAAGATGGGAAAGAGCCAATAAGGAGGATGGTCATGAAACTACAAGAAAAAGAAGAGATAATTAATGAGCAAGATTGCTGAGGAAGTAGGAGGAATGATTGTATAAGACTGAGACAGACAAATTATAAGAAGGGACACTTCTTCCTATGAGAGGATTATAATAGAAAGAATATATGTAGAACAAGTAAATTATATATGTGTGGAATAGGAGAGACAAATAACAAGGAAAATGCAGGGAGAATGACAGATGGTATTGATGATATGAATTTTTCAAGGCACAGTGAGTCTATGATTTCCTTCAGCAGTGCTCAACTGCTCAATTATAGAAATGAAAAGGTGGTAGTTATATCGGTCAAGATTTGGGGGGCCGTTGGGTATTCAAGTGAAAAAGTAATACAGCAATAGAGTTAAACTGATTTGAAACTGTGAACATATGATCTAATACGAACAGGAAATAAAGATAAGAGGTGTTCACAGTCCAGCTGGTAGAATTCCTAAGAGCTGAATATTCTGACTTATTTTCCTCTCATTCTCTTTTTAACTGATTCCAATCAGACTTTGTCTTAAACACACCATAGAAATGGTACCTGTGAAGAGTATTCATGATTTCCATCATGCCAAATACCCATGAAGAATTCTCAATCTTCATCTTCCTTGACCCTCGGTAGCAAGATCAAAAAGAGACAGGGGATCACTCCCTTTCTTGAAATTTTTTTCTTTACTTAGGTTCCTGACAACCATTTATCTTCAGATTTACTCCTACCTTCCCAGTCACTCCTTAGTCTTGCTCTCCTGTTCTATCTCCTCTTTCTAATCATAATTTTGGAAGCACCTAGCACTGAATCATTGAGCTGTTTTCCTTATTCCCTAAGTGATCTCATCCAACCTCAAGGCTTTAAATATCACCTATTTTCTGATAGCTTCAACATCAGTCTCTTCTGTTCCTACTCTCCCACCACTTAACATTTCCATTTAGATGTCCGAAAAACAGTTCACACTTCAATTATGTAAAACAAATTTTCCATTCTTACCACCAACCCCATCCTTCCTTCAGTTGTTTCCACTTAATAAATGCCATGCCAATTACCAAGTTATTCTGACTAAAAACTTAGCAGTCACCTTTGATTCTTCTCTTTCTCTTACTTCTTATATCCAAGCCATCAGCATATAATATTGAAATGGGAGAGTTCCCTTATCCCCCTCACAGGACGTTCAACAGGGGTGTGGCTTCCTGCTGCTCAAATCCCTCGGGGGGGCATGCAGACGGGTGGGTGCAGAGGTCATGGGGATGGCTTTTGGGTGTCTAGGGCTGAGTGTTTACAACTCCTGAAGGCCAAGTGGGCATGTGTTACAGTGTGCTCTTTCGACTTTGCCGTCTGCAGACTGCTTGTGTTAGCTCAATTGGACTCTGCCTATTGCAAGGTCAGAGGGCTTTCTGTATCCCAAGTTCTTGTCCAGCATACTGGAAAAACCAGATCACACATGGGCTTGGAGGATGAGTGCAAGGTTTTATTAAGTGGTGGAGGTGGCTCCCAGTGAGATGGATGGGGAGCCAGAAGGGGGATGAAGTGGGAAGATGGTCGTCTTCTGGAGTCTGGCCACCAAGCGGTTGGACTCTCCTCCAACCATTCTTGGTCAAAGTCCCCTTGGCATCCACATCATTCCATCATTGCTGTTCTGCCAGTGTCTGCTGATGTGTTCCTCTCAACATCCATCTGCTTGTGTCTGCACCTACTAGGTCTCAGGTTTTTATGGGCACAAGATGGGGGTTGTGGTGGGCCAGAGTGGTCTTGGAAAATGCAATATTTAGGTATGAAAGCAGGAGTGCCCATTCTGACTTAGGTCTGTGGCCACAGGCCCGAGGGTAGAGCCCTCACCAGGGATCCCACCCTTCCCTACCCAGCACTTCCCTGCCCCCCTCCCATATTAATATAGTCTTGCCAATAACCTGGATCTGTATCCAGAATTCTACTTCTCACCCTCCACTATTAATATCCTAGTATGAGTCATAATCTTTCTCTCCCTAGTATTTCCCAAAAAACCTCGTAAGTGATTGTTCTCTTTCATTTTTGTCCCCTCTAAAGTCATTTCTCTACATAGCTACTTGCGATTTCTTTTTTCTTTTTTTTTAGAGATGGTGTCTTGCTCTGTCACCCAGGCTGGAGTGCAGAGTCACAATCATAGCTCACTGCAACCTCTGCTTCCTGGGTTCAAGCAATTCTCCTGCCTTAGCCTCCCAGGTGGCTGGGACTATAGGTGCACGCTGCCACGCCCAGCTAATTTTTTGTATTTTAGTAGAGACAAGGTTTCACCACGTTGCCCAGGCTGGTCTGGAACTCCTGAGCTCAGGCAATCCACTCACCTCAGCTTCCCAAAGTCCTAGGATTACAGGCGTGAGTCACCGTACCCGGCCACTGTGATCTTCTAGAAACAGAAATTTGATTATATGTATTTCCTGCTCAGAGTATTCCAAAGGCTTCCGATGTACTTATTTAAAAATCCAAATTTCATTGATTTAAAGATCTACTAAAATGTTATCATTAAACAACTTTCGACTTTATCTTCTACTATTACTCTTCCTTCATTCACCCCATGTTTACCATTCTAAATACACTGTTATTTCTCTAACTTGTCTCTACTTTTAAGTCTTTGCACTTGTTGTTTCCACTACCTGGTCTGTTCTGTTCTCAGTTATTAATATCACTTCTTTAATCCCTTATTCAAAAATTAAATGAAATGTCAATGAAATTTCCCCCTTTCACTCAAAATGATAGATTGAATAATTGGACACAACTCTTCACTCCTCTGCATTAATTTTTTATAACTCCAACCTTTCATGGCCTTATGCACATGTAGGCGGCCTATATTTCTCTGATCTTTGATTTGGGGCCTAGCCCTGTGACTTGCTTTAACCAATCAAGTATTAGCAAACCTGACAAAACCAAGGCTCAAAATGTGATTACCCAATTTGTCTTTCCCTCTTATTCTGATCTTTTGCCATGAAAAGAACATGCATGAGTGGCTACTGACTTAAACGGGTTGAAGAAACAGGTGGAAAGGAACTGAACTCAATCTGTAGCATGGAGCCAAGTCAAGGTAAGCCCAGCCTAAATCAAACTTTAGACAGCCTGCAGATAGGTGTGTTGTACTGAAATTTTGAAGTTACTTTATTTTGCAGCAATATTGTGGCGAGAGCTAATTATTACACTCTTTTTAAAAGAGTAATATATATTCCATCACTTTTTATTCTTTTTCAGCTAAATTTTTGATGTCATTCATTTCTACCCAACAGTAAAATATGCTTCTTCAGTTTTTCTCTCTCTCTAAAATATTGATGTCTCTGAGAAAATGTCCTGTATGTCTTATTTAGCACCTTATTCCCAGAGCCTAGAACCTGGCTCAGTACAGAGGAAGCATTCAATAGATAGTTGTGATTGAATGAATAAGAAGCTAGAGGAAGCCAGATACTAAACGTCATGATAAGTTGGAAGAAATCTGCTGGAATTAAGCAAATGAATGAAATGTAATGTTACATGGCTGAAGTCAGCAAGTTCAATTTTGAATTTGATATTTCAGAGGTGAAATACTTCTAGGTCCATAGATCATATGACAGAAAAAAACCAGTGTGAGCTAAGCCTGTGCTGCCTAAACAGATAAATCTCTCTCCCCTCCCCGCACCCCTGACACCATCAAAATGTCAAACAATCACACTCTGCATTTCTTAGGTCCCTTGTATGGAGAATTGGATATGATAACTTTGCAATGTGAATAGGCAGGGAAAATATGTCAAACTATTAAAGTCACCACAGGTAGAAAGCAACATAACAGATGAGTAAAGACATTCTTTTATGAGAGAAAGGGGGCACTTGAAACTCTAAGTGTAGTACTAAAATTATTTGATTTCATCTATTAATATTTAACAAGTAATTCGAGTTGAGAATGGCTTCCTCTTCCTACGTAGTAACTTTTTAAAAAGATAGTACCTCAGAACATCTGTTTGCATAATGGTCTTCCAGTGTTCTTGAACTAAAATGTCAATTGGCAAGTAACATTTAACATTTTTAAATGCCTGTAAACTTGGGATTTGTTAATTATTTCTCCATTTTTCTGTGATGCCACTCTTTTCCTCTTAGAATGCTTCATTTCCTGAAGGCTATCTAATTAATGGTCAGGCAATGAATACATGCTTAGCATTGGAGTGGTGCAAAGTCTATTAATCCCGACAGTAACTCCTTAACATTTTTATGCCAGTACTACTGAAAGCAGATTGAATAAATTGGAGGCTGATAAGAGTGTTTATTCCAAGATTCAGCACTCAGGAATCTGATTGTGCTGAGTTTCAATATATTGCTTTCAATATATTGTGACGGGGGAAAAAATGATGTCTTTTATTTTGTCGATGAAACACAAGTATTCCAAATATGTTTAGAGTTTTGTTTCAAATACATTATGAGAAATAAGTAATTTATGTAATGTATAACTTAAGGTAGTTTGTTGCAAGCAATTTAAACTAAACTAGGCTAAGTTGGGCAGAAAAGAAATATACTTGATTTAGGTTTACTTACCTATGGGTAGAAAATTAGCTGAAGGATCAAAGTCTTTAAAAGGGCAGGAACCAGAGTAGCTCTAATGATATAGGGCTCAGGAAATTTCAAATTCTGGCTGTGGTTAGAATGAATTGCTGACCATTGGCTGCTCAGGCTAGAGAGAAGGACAGAGCTGTGGCATCACAGCTTCATTCTTCATGGGAAATAAAACAAGTGCCTAGAAATTTATGAGAGAACAGAAAAAAAGAAATGCTTTTCTTGCACTTCTACTCATAAAGACCCAGTATTTAAAATAAACTAAGTAAAAGACTGTGAACTTAGCAACTGGGCTCAGAGTACAATGATATCCAATTGCAAAGCAGAAGCAGGGTTGGGGTGGGGTCAATGCTGGGGATTCACTAAACAAGAGCATCAGACCACCCTTTTTTCATATTTCTGTCTCTCTCATCAAGAGTTAAGTACCAGAACAGAAGTGCTAACTATCCAAGTTTTGGTCAGGTTTGAAACATGCTGGGGGAAAACAAGGCACAGATTATACGTAATAAAACAGAGAAAACTCCCCAAATTGCAATGGGTATGCTGCTAATGAAAGAAGAAATGAATGACCAAAAGCAATGAATATCTGTCTTTCTCATGACACTCGCCGTCCTGATTAAGGAGTAAATATCCGTAACAATCATTCTTCAAGGGATGCAGTTCGTCAGTTTTCACTTGCTATTTGATCATCAGAATCTTGATTTTCTTTTTAAAGTGGGTAAAAGCAGTTCAACTCTCAGACATAATGAGGCATAAAATATTTTAACTTGTGGTTTTTATGAAGATAAAAAATTCCTTAAGAAATAGTGAATTAAAACTCTGGCTTTATACAATTTACTTTTTGATATGGTTTGGCTGTTTTCCCACCCAAATCTCATTTTGAATTGTAAATTCTCATAATCCCCACGTGTTGTGGGAGGGACCTGGTGGAAGGTAATTGAATCATGGGGCGGTTACCCCCATGCTGCTGTTCTTGTTATAGTGAGAGAGTTCTCAGGAGATCTGATGATTTTGTAAGGGTCTTTTCCCTTTGGCTCAGCTCTCATAATTCTTGCTACAGCCATGTGAAGAAGGACGTGTTTGCTTCTCCTTCCGCCATAACTGTAAGTTTCCTGAGGCCTACCAAGCCTTCAGACCTGTGAGTCAATAAAACCTCTTTCCTTATAAATTACCCAGTCTTGGGTATGTCTTTATTAGCAATGCAAGAACAGACTAATACACTTTTATTGTAAGCAAAGGAAATTATGTCATTTTGTGTGTATGTTGGGTGTATTACATGCATATGCATAAATATGATTCTATATATAAATTTTTATGAAAGTATTCATCTATAAGTTGATATAAATCCTATAAATCAGTATAATTTTTTTGTTTTTGTATTTTTAGTAGAGACGGGGTTTCACCATGTTAGCCAGGATGGTTTCGATCTCCTGACCTCGTGATTCGCCCGCCTCGGCCTCCCAAAGTGCTGGGATTACAGGCATGAGCCACCGCGCCCGGCCAAGTATAAATATTCTTTAATGGAGCTCTGATATACAGTTAAATTCTTCTTCGTAGATAACAGGATAATATTAATAGTTCTTAGACAGATCAGAGTTTTCTAATTTAATTTGGGCTTTTTGTCTCTTTTCTTTACCTTGGTCTGATGCTCTTGTTTAGTGAATCCCCAGCATTGACCCCACCCCAACCCTGCTTCTGCTTTGCAATTGAATATCATTGTACTCTGAGCCCAGTTGCTAAGTTCACAGTCTTTTACTTAGTTTATTTTAAATACTGGGTCTTTATAAGTAGAAGTGCAAGAAAAGCTTTTCTTTTTTTCTGTTCTCTCATAAATTTCTAGGCACTTATTTTATTTCCCATGAGGAATGAAGCTGTGATGCCACAGCTCTGTCCTTCTCTCTAGCCTGAGCAGCCAATGGTCAGCAATTCATCTTGGGTAGTATGAATAGAGCATTTCAAATTCTTTTTTTAGTAGACTATTCACTTCCACTTGAGTTCCAGGTTTAAAAGTAAATGCTTTGTTTGGCAATGGTATAGTACTTCCAATAAATAATTCCATTAATAGTACTTGCGAGTAATGCTGGTTAATTAATTTCAACCAATATTAATTATAGCACCAATGATAGTACCTGATCCTAGTACTCACCAGTAATATTAGCTAATTAATCCTTTCCCAATTTTGAATGTCCTATAAATAGTCTATTATCAAATACTATTTTAATGAACTAAAATATAAAGATATGTTGGGCATTTCTCAGATTCTCTCCAATTTTGTCCTTCAACATTCCTTTTGACACTTAATAAGCCTGTCAAATTCAACTACATACCAATTAAATTCAAGATATTCAATTTGTAAGTACATGCGAAAACATTTGATTATATCATTTTTTCTCAGACACAGCAAGGAAGGTAAGGTATACGACATACTTAGGCATTAGAAATCTAAATCAATTTAATTTTCTAAGTATAAGCTTATTTTATCATATGGGGTTAGAAAAAATAAAGAAATGGTTTTTCCTTTTATACTCACACCACTTTCAATATTCTCACACTGGTCACCAAAACATGGGATGATGTTACCCATACCAAGTGTATTAGTGCATTTTCATACTGCTATGAAGAAATACCCAAGACTGGGTAATTTATAAATAGAAAGAGGTTTGAAGGACTCACACAGTTCCACATGGCTGGGGAGGCCTCACCATCATGGTGAAGGCGAAGGAGGAGCAAAGGCATATCGTACGTGTCAGCACGCAAGAGCATGTGCAGGGGAACTACCCTTTATAAAATCATCAGAACTTGTGAGACTTATTCACTATCATATTTTCCCTGTGTGAAATGGGGAAAAAAACCATTTTTTTTCCCATTTCACACAGGGAAAAACCCACCCCCATGATTCAATTTCCTCCCACTAGGTCCCTCCCATCATACATGGGGATTATGGGAGCTACCATTCAAGATGACATTTGGATGGGGACACAGCCAAACCATATCACCAAGCAGTTCTCCAATGCTCAGTGAACAAGAACTGGGTGTGCTACAATTTAACTCAATTCTGATACTATCTAGCTAGAAATAACCTCAGATCCTACAGATTAAGAGTTCAATTTTACAAGACTGCCCCCCACTTCAGAAGTCAAGCACAAGTATTAAGTCCCCAGGTTACCACAACTTCTGTCCCACGTGGTTACAAATCTGAGGTTCTCACAATCCCCTTCTCAGGTTCAATAATTTGCAAGAGTGTTTCATAGAACCCAGAAAAACAGTTTGGTTACTGTTGCTGATTTATTGCAAGGATATTGTAAAGTATACAAATAAATAGCCAGATACAGATATTTATATATAGGCTACAGTTTGGAAGGGTACCAAGTGCAGGAGCTTCGGCTTCATAGAGTTGGGTGCACCACCCTCCTGACAAATGCATGTCTTCTTGTTCACCAACCCAGAAGCTATCCTAACCTTTTCCTTTTGGGTTTTTGTGGAGGTTTCATTATATAGGCATGATTGATTACA